AAACAATCTTGTTCAAGGAGTATTTTAATGATATACTTTTCTTCCGCGTTCAATACTCCCCCGCATTTTTTGTGCTCCTTTCTTTTTTTTTCTTTTTTTGTACTGGAGGAAATTATGTGCGTCGCAGAGGAAAGGCGAAAAAACTATATTCAATTTTTGTCGCAGCACGAAGTCGATTAAACGCCAAAAGAAAAAAAAAGGAAAAAATGCCGCTCACTTTATTGTATTATATATTTATATACTTTTTGATATGGGCGTGCGACTTAAAGATAACATGTATACGCAATAATTTAAAAATAAAAATGAAATGCGTGAAGAACATGAAATTCTCGGTGCTTTTCACTTAAATCCAACTTCTAGCTCTTGCGGTTTAATTTTTTAAATGAATTCACCACAAATGCTATGAGGAACAACAGCACCTAAGCAAGCAATCCTTCGCAAACATGACAAAAACATGACCAATGCGTACAGCTGTGACTTATAATATTACAATTAAGAAATTTTAAAATAAAAAAATCGTAGTTTTTTTTTTTTCTTGCAAAAGAAAAATGAGGAGATAATTATTTCTTTTGCGCCCTTTTAATTGCTAAATAGAAATCATAAAAATCCTTTGGTTTAATCAATTCAACGAATAAGTGAACTGAAATAGAGAAAAACATACATATATTTACAGGGACTGGGAACGTAAGAGCGTTGATGTTCAGGGAAAGAGAGTAAGCTTAGATTGAATACTGGAAATATTACTCTTTGAAGATGGATTATTGATTTTTTTCTTTTAAAATTAACAGCAAAGCTTGCAAAACGCATTATATATATATATATATATATATATATATGTATATAGATATATTATTGAAAATACAAAATATGTGACAATTCTCTTGCTACTCATGACATAGCATACAAACATTAAGAAGAAATCGAAGTGCATTAGGCAATAAAAACTTTTTTATTTCTCAGATATACATATGGTGGGTGAAATTAGCAGATATGTTCCTATTGCGTCGACAAAAGCAAAAAAAAAAAAAGAAAAAAACGAAAGGAAAAGCAGGAAGAAAACGAATTTTGTTCGAGAAATTCATTTAGGGGAGAGTTTTTGAAACTATTATTATTTAAATGTTAATTTCACTTACCTAGCAGGGTAATATTCTTTTAATAGAAGTTGATTTTATTTCATTGAATGTTCTAGTTTTTTATTCCTGAACACACCCTTTTTCACATCATTAATTTCCCGAAATTAAGACGGGATGCTTCGTAATACATTCCATTGACTTTAAAGCCGAATTATTAAACGCTTTACAGTTATCAAGTTGGATTTACTTATGTTTTCATACCTAATGAGGATTTTATATACATAACAATAGTAAACTTTTGCAAATTTGACGCAACAAAACAATACTAACGATGCGTAGAGAAGGAAAACGCGATGTTCTAAGTAAATTCAGCTAAGTCTGTAACATCTCTCTTATTACGCGAGAAGATTTTTGATAAGATTTTTGCAATATTTCCAAATTCTTAGTGAAACAACTTGAACTAAACTTTTGCTTAATTATATTACTGCAATAAATAAATGTTTATTTTTATTTTATTGTTTTTCTTTTTCCTCTTTAATTATTTGCACTACATCTCGCGTCATTAAAGAGTAAATACGGCCGAATTCTGTGGCTGCTCGCTCGAACAGTTTAAATGTTCCTTTTTTTGTTTATTCTTTCCGGAGTAATGATGTTACAATAAATATACATAATAAATAATATTCTAAGAGTCTTTTTCATTTACAAGATTTCATTCTATCATTTAATGTTACGACTTTTTATTTACTAGCGACAAAAAATTCACACACCTTCTCCGACGAAAGAGAAAAAAAAACTGAATTTTTTTTTGGAAAAAAAAGTGTAGAAAATGTTTGGATTTATAATCATATTTCTCTCTCTATGCTTCTTTGTTTTCTCTCTTTCTTAGACACAAGTAAAACAAAATTTTACAATACAATGCCAGCAATCCCCTAACACTGCTTAGTAATCAGAGCTATGTTCTCTCAGAGCAAACAAAGAATTACAATAACAATGCCAGCAACACTACGATGCTGCCAAGAAAGACACACAGAGAGAGAGAGAGAGATAGTAGGTTTTAGTTCCCGACAAGAACTGTATTAAACATTCTATATAACATAAAGTAAACGAATTAAAGAGAGTTCTCCATTTAATGCACCATTCACAATATTAAAGTTTGTTTACAAATGAGACCGGGTTTTCATTTCAGTTGTGTTCTCTCTTTACAATGAGCAGAAATGTATGTAAAATAGTTATGAAATTTTTAAGCCAAACAAATCCTATACAATCTAACCCATCGTTTTCATAATTTGAACTTGTCAACCCTGCAATGAAACTTCCTGTTGGTCGCATTTAAATCGCGTAAGATGTGTTTTAATTTTCCGTGCAATAGTCGAACAATAGAAAAGTAATTTTATTGCAAGTATAACTCTCAGAACAATCTATTTCGGATATTGTTTTCATGTTTATAATTCCGGAATATATGAAAATAGCTAAGGAAGCTTCACTACTGTCTGTCAATTCAACCGCCGAGGATAAGCTTCGTCTGGTATCTTTAAAAACGTTACCTTACTTATGTTATGTTAAAATCATTATCACTTATGTCGATAAGCCGAAAGATACTTCGCTATTGCTTTTGTAATCTCTTACAAAATTGTTTTACTGCGTGCGACCTGTATGTCTTATACAAGTCCACATCCGGAATCGTCTTTTCACTGATATAGGTGATATTCCTCTCTCTTTACATAGAAGTTTTTATTATTGTATCCCTGGCTTAAATACTCTTAGTTATGCAACGTATGGAATCATTTCATTCTGTTGAGATATGCAAAACAGCTTTTCGTATGTTTTTCCGGAAATTAATCGGAAGGGACCTGAATTTCTATATCATTGTTTTGACTGCAAAGGGCACCTTTTAATGTCATTCGAGTAAAACTTCTCGAAAATTTTAACATTACAAAAGTTATTTAAGATACGCTTATCTTCACATTAAATATCCTTGGCTCCATTGAATCAGTGTCAATTGCCAATTGTTCGCATCAATTCCGTGGCTACGCTGAAAACTCTCTTCTGAAGATTTACGCAGATTTAAAGCGATTTTGGGTCTTTCGCATGCTACAAGTAATTTCAACTGCTGGCTATAAATCCGATTATAGTTTGGATAACTTAGACGAATGATCGCGGGAAGCCTATGACAATCGCAGAAGTGTAGTGAAGCAAGTTTTAAACTTTTCTACTATAAGTAATAGCAGTGAACAAAGTCTATGTATATAATAGGTTGGTGCATCATTATCAGGTGTTTCTTTGACGTGCTATATTTTAATAAAAATGTGCAACATTTTATAAATTGAATGAAAATATCTTTCTATTTTTACGTTATAAAAATGCGTGTCGTTAATCATACTGGTATTCGTCATATTAAGCTTTATCACTTTGAGAGAGGATGGAAAGCAGCGCAAACTTTTCGCGATCTGAACGAACTTTTCAGTCAGGGCACCGTTTAAATCCGGCTACACTAGCTTGGAAGATAAGCCAAGAAGAGGTAGATCACCGGCTTTCGAAGACCAGTCACTTTTGACAGCTGTCGAAAAGGACGAAAGCTTGCTGGCGGACAACGTCAATATGGACCATTCAACCATCGTTCGTTGTCTCAAAAAGCTTTGGAAAGTTATTGAAGTAGATGGTGACTAGACTCCGGATTAACTATTTGAAAATGTTACCGTTAGATTTTTATGTTTCCTTTTCCATAATAAAGCGTGCGTTCAAGAACGCTTGATAATTATGCGCCAAACTATTATACATAAGTTAGGTGATAAATATAAGGCAATTAATTCTTGTAGCCAGTGCGATTATAGCATATTGCAAAGATTTTGAATCTTCAAAAGATTATAAAAATGTACAAAATCTTTTCTTGAGAAGTATTATTGTTTATTTTGTAGTTATATCCTACACCACTTGCATTACACGGAATATTAAGAAGCACTTAAGATGCATCCACATTTTATTATGCCGATCGATTCATATTCATTTTATGATTTAAGCTTGTCTGTTTGTCGGTCTCTCCGTGTGTTGTCCGTCCACGAATATTGTGTTCAATCTAAAGGTCGCAAATTTTAAGATATTTTGATGAAATTTGATGCACTGGCATGCTTTGACCCAACGACGAACGCTATTGAAAATGGTTGGGATCGGTAGACTTTTCCCACCACTCCCCATAGAACGCCTCTTCCAAGAAATCGCAATATGGAGAGAAATTGCAATTCTAAAAATTTTCTCAACAAAATCCGCTGTATGATAGTACTATCGATATTTCAAATTAGTCACAGAATCGATTATCATTAATGACATTTCGAATGATGCAGTTAGCAACCAACATATTTCCTGGACATTGTTTCTTTGCATTTTACATTTAGTTGGATAATTGCATGAAAAGCTTGAAACATCGATTTAGAAGCCATTTAATACATTTCATCGAATAAACTTAAAGCCTGAGTCCGAATATAGTAGAAGTCATGCATAAGAGGACTTCTACCGTGAGTATCTCGAAGAGACTGCGAATAAACTTAAGACACTGTTACTGTGAATAAGCTTCATATTAAACACCGTTGACTTTTTGGAAATGTCAAAAATGATTATTTCACCTAATATCGTCCGACATATGCGTTATGCGTGCAATTAATTGCTCAACAATTCAAAGATTAAAAACTTGAATTACCGAATGCGTTCTATAGGCGTCAAATTCGGACCCATAGAGAAGTACCAATATAAACTCGCATTCTTATATATTTCTCTTCTTAGAAATGATATTTTATTATTATCCGCGTTCACGCGTATACATCTTATCTTATAAAATTATATTTTGTATTTCTTTAGTAACTACCATAATGAAGAGCATTGAAATCCTGCAGCCGTAACTACCCTTATGACTAATTAGAAAAGGCTTTATCTCTTTTATTTTATTAATAACTATTATAATTCCGTTAGATTTTTGTCCTTGCCATTTTTGGCCTTACCACCACATACAATAATATATAATTATAACAATATTCACTAATTAGGACATACTTTCGTTTGCTACTAGCCTAACCTAAAACTTATTTTAGTGTTCAATTTATATACACAAATGCAATACATTAAATAATGCGTTGAAAAATGAAATTCTCAGGGAATTTTAACAGGTAAAAATAATCGAGGATCGCCGATTTTCGGGCTAAGACGAACCACGACTTGATCGTCACCATCTCCGACTTCTAGGAACGAGTTCCAATCTGCCAGAAAGTAGAATCCGTTCTTTTTTCTAGGCGGGGGCGGCTCTTCGGCAATGGGATTAGGGCCAAACGATTCCTCCAAAACGGCTAAGGAATCATTACGTGGCCTTTCAGTTTCGACTGACTGCGTATTTGTGGTTAACGCAATCCTTATCGGATTACTACCATTTGATTTACTTGATTCAGTAGAAGTAGTTGGACTTTGGCGGCGGCTCTTTGCAGTCACTTTGTTCTCATATTTCAATGAAGGCTGCATTTCCTTAAGATTTTCGAAATATTGGTAATCGGACTGGGTAAATGCAGGTGTGTTTTTATGAGTATGTTGCGAATTCTCTTTTGTACTTATATTTAGTTTTTGTAATTCCTTAAGATTTTTAATTAATCTTTTCAATTCGGGTACATTTTCTGTCAAGTCAGTGAAACTATCTGATTTCTTATTTTCGTCCTGATTAACGGTATCGTTAGGATTAAATTCAGGTAAAGTCATACGACTGTTAATTTCACTCGATTCAACAACTAGGTCATCCATTCCGACGTCCTCATTTTCGTTTTTCCCGAACATTATTAAGTCATCAATATCGTTATCTTTTCGCTTAATATTATCGATGAAGCTGTGTGGTAATTCCGTTGAAACTCCGATCTTATTGACTGCCCTTATAATAGCATCTTCGATAATTTTAGTGGCGCTAAACACTGGTAGTTGAACTGAACTTTCTGTAGTGGATTTAGTTGGCCTTCGTGTTAACGATTTAATAGTCGTTAAGGAAAATACCGCGGTCTTTCCAGTTGGATCTTCGCTATCGGGCCCCGTTCTAGGGGTAGCCATTATTGGCTCCTCATTCTTGTCATCTAACTTGTTTGGGTTAATAACACCTTCAACTGGTTGAAAATCTAATTCTGCGGTTTTGATACTGTTATCATCGAGTTTTGATTTCAATTTCCCAGTCAGGTCTTTAGGCACCTCCAAGTATAGATTTTTTAATTCTTCCGTTTGTATGTTGATGCGTACGTCGTTCAAAGGTTTCTTCGCTTCTGCTCCCTCTACCTCTCTTACTGAATCCATTTCTTCTTTTGTACTTTTCAAGACTTGCTTCTTAGTAGCAATAAGTTCTGACGGTTCTTTGGCGGCCGTTTCGTGTACTAACGGTATTTCATCTGTCTCTCTTTCGTTTTCTTCCATATTCTCTCTAAGTTCTACCTTATTCTCTTGAGAGGATAGAGAAGGAGTTATGGAATCCGTCTGCTTAGCTTTCGTCGTTTGAACATTTTCAGACTTTTCATGTATTATTTCCTTTATTGGATAAACGAGGTGCACCCCGTTCGGTTTTTGAACATTTTCATTACGTCGTGAAGCCGCCGCAGCGAAACTTTGAGCAGTGGTAACTTCTCGTTGGATTTTAGACCGCGAGATGGGATTTATTGTAGGTATATTAATCCGCACACGTTCCAATTCTTGTATTTTACTCAAAAGCTTTTGTAATTGTACAAATTCTCTTGGATCCGCTTCGGAAAGATTGCTGCCTGTGCCGGTATCGTTGGTTATATCAATAATTCTTTGAGCGAAGCTTTGACTTTTACTAGTTGTCGATTCGTGCTGGAGGATCTTAGCTGACGTGGCTGCTGTTGAAATTTCTACGTCGGAGGAATAAGCTCTATTGCCAGCTTCTTGAACTTGCTTGTACAGCGTTCGCAAATTTGCAAAATCATTCACCGGCAAATTTAACTCTGCCGCCGTTTCGACAGAATCCTTAACATTTCGTGTGGTGAAGCCTAAGAGTTGAGGCAAAGGCGTGTCAGTAGGTAATGGTTTTTGAAGTTTTAATTTTTGATTATTTAGACGTTGCTCAACCTGCTGTATACGATTGATTAATGTTTCAAATTGCTTTTCATCGATTGTTTCTTTTCTTGCTGGCCATTGCGGCACTTCGGTTGAATGAATGGAAATTCTGAGTGGCATTTGAGTGGCAGTAATTGTACTAATGGAAGTCGTTGTAGTTGCCCGGGGTGTGGTGGTCTCCGTTTGAAAATCTGTTGGTTTCACTGTTGTAATAGTATTGACTTTATTACTGGGTCGCTCGAATTCAGCAATGTATCGCTGTAGGTCAGCCAAATCTTTCGCAGAAAGGCTCTTTGGCTTTTTTGTAGTTGTTGTGACTATAGTATTGATTTTTTTAAAATTCTGTTGCAGTTGTTGCCTCTCTCTCTCTCTGATTTTAGCTTGCTCAAACAATCTTTCCAATTCATGATCATTACTTAGCAGTTTTCTTAACTGCCCCACATCGTTAGGTATCAATGGCGATGAATGCGTTATCGGCGGTTTCTTTGTTGTTGTAGTCGTAGTGGTAGTAGTGGTTGATGATGTTGACGTCGTTGATGTCCGACGTTCTGCTTTTTCTTGATTTTGTATTTGCAGTAGAAGTCGTTGTAGCTGCTGCAAATCAGGTTGTGACGCTGACTTTCTGGATTGTTGTTGTGCTAATAATAGTTGCTGTTCTGGGGATAATACAGGTTCATTGAAACGATCAATTATGGTTTGTTTGGTTGGGGCAGAGGTGACTGCAACTGTTGGCCTTGTTGCAGATGTGCGAAGAGTCTTATTGAGTGGCCCCATATTGCGTAAAACATTTTGTGGTTTAATTTGCAATCTTTGCAGCTCTTGAAGGTTTTCTAGTAGTTTAGACAATTGATCGGAGTTATTCGTTTCGTCGCCTTGATGGTTACTAGTAGATCCGAAATTAATATCAATGTTTGGATCAATACGACGTCGTGGCTTCTTAGCTTCAATCAACTTGGGCTTCTCATTTGTAACTAAAGTGGTGGGATCAGTTGTACTTTCCGTCGCTATCCTTGTGGCCGTAGTTGTTGATTCAACATTAAGCGTTACTTTAGGTTTAATACGCAACCGTTCTAGCTCTTTGAGATTTTCTAGCAATTTTTCTAATTGTAAATTTCCAGGTAGCTTAACATCCTTTCTACCTTTAACATGAGCGGATGGTACCTTGCGGGTAGCAATCTCACTTTCTTCGCTGAACGGTTCTTCGCTATTCGTACCGTTGACTCTAGTATTTAATTTGTCGATTTCCTTACGCTTTCGTGCGCGTACGATACCAAAACGCGTTAAATAGTCTTCCACTTCTGGTTTGACACGTATCTCTTCCCCTATGTTTAGAGGTTTAAACATTGCGTAAGCTTCGGGCGTTATTTTAGCAGCCAGGCTCTGAGACCCAGCATCTTTTAAATTAGCTCCATTTGCCATTTCTGGCAGATATGTACTATAAATTGGTTTAGGAGCACTCTCCGCGCTATAGTATTCATCTGAACCCAAGCGAGTTTCACTAAAAATTCCCAAATCACCTAAGATATCAGCTACTGGCTTTATGGTCAATGTTGGGAGTTGAGGTTGATTGCGTTTTGGCGAGTTAAATTTAAGGAAATCAGCATTCTGTGCGTTGTAGTGACTGCTAAAACGCTGAATTGTCTTTGAGTTTTGAAATGTTTCCGTATTTTCATGTTGCACGGATGTTATGTCTGTGTTTATAGGTTTGAAAGGCTTCACGTCGCCGTCTGTTAAAGCAATCTTATGACGATATAATACCGAGGGTGGTGTGTACGGGTGATACGTTGTGGCGCTAGGAGCAGGAGGCAACATTTTTAAAGAAAACGATGGCTTATATGTGGTTGGTTGTAAAATACCAATATCGGCGCTATCGCTTTTCATTTCGCTATTAGGTGATGGTGTTATAAACTGTATGGGTCTGTGAGATGTGTTCGACTCTACTACCTTTGTTACGGGGGGTCGAGTAAACAATTCCTTGCGTAAGAAATGGCAATTAAATATATATACAAACATAGTTTTAATTAATAAAAGCAATGAAGAAGTACTAACCTGTAAATTCTCTTCAGTGTTATTATCGGTATTGTACGGCAACACTAACATAAGCGCTCTCATACTTTCGGCCCGCTTAGTATCTCCAGCCTTTAAACTCTTCTCCAACTCCTCCCGTGTGACTTTCTCGTATAACTCCTCGATTTCTCCTCTAAATATTAATCAACATATGATATAAAGCGGAATATATGAAAACCAAAGCCTTACCTAGTAAGCCGTGGTAACGTGAGGTCTTGATGCAATATTCTTTGTACTTCGTCGATTGTTTCCTCTAAGGCTGGTGTTTTTAAAAATGCTTTTCCAACATTTGGCAACACATTCCCTTCAAGATTATGAACGGCATTCACTGTAGGATGACAAAGTGAAATCCTTAAACTTATACCGAATGTTAGCACGAGCAAGGTTCGCATCAGTTTCACTTGATGATGCATTGTATCTGAAAAATTGTAAAAGAGACGAATTTATTTCTCACAGCAGGACAAAGCGGAAAAACGGGAAAAAATTCATTATAACCCTGTGAATTATGCTTTTGAAAATTTCCAAAGAGGAAAAATCCTTCATTCGATTGAGCAATTTAGAGATTAGAATTTCAAATTATCAGAAGAAACAAAACAGCCACAGGATCAGACAAAGGACTGAAAACGAATGGATTCCATTCATTATACTTCGATCGCTACTGTTAACCAATTGTCATCAAAAAATATTAAAAATTTTCTAAAGAGCTTACTGTATTCAAGAAATAGGCCCACATGGTTCAAGTTTGGTCCTCTTAATTTTTTTTACTAAATTATTACCATGAACCCATTTTCATTATAAACCATTAACAAATAGGTATTTTTGGTCTATAAGAGTTCACATTTAATGAAAATGCTTACATACGATGATGCCCAAAAAATAGACCTATGTTGTCCAAATTCGGTAAGGTTGATTTCTTTGTCAATTTACTATTATGAAGTAAGTTTTACCATGAAATATTCAAAGTTATTAAAAAAGTACTATGCCCGGTAGGTTGATTCACATGGACAAACAGAGGGACGAACGGACGGACGGACGGTGGGACAAATTTAGTTTGATTTAGGGAATGATTCTAAGTCGATCGGTATAATAGAAGGTGGGTCTATCTCAAACCATTCTGAGCGTCGCGTACGTCCGTACAAACTTAATAAAATCTGTACCACAAGCTGTGTACCGTATAACGCAGTAAACTAAAATAAATTGAAACAAAAATTGAAATAAAATATGATAAAATAAAACAAAAAAATTTTGTACTGGTGGTTGTAACAGTCAGAAGGACGTGATATGAACCCGCCTTTTATTATACCGAAACGCCTTGTCTGTCCCTCTGCCCTGTGCTCAATCCAGGGGTCATAATTTTGACCTAAGGGAGAGGGCCTCTAGAAATGGTGCCGATCGATTCACCCCACATAAGGTCTTCTTATGAATGTTTGTTATATGAATAACGGTAAGGTGGTATAGGTTACTTAACGGTGGGTCATGTACCATTATACACTGTTTACTTATTTTGTTCAGTTTGTTTTGATTTCATTTTTTTTTTTTTTTGTTTAATTTAACTTCATTTTATTATGTTTTAGTTTACTGTATCTTATTTTATATTATTATTATTAACATAATAAGTTCATAATAATTCCATAATATTTTATTTCATTTTGTATTATTTGTATATTATTTTGTTTTGTTTTATTTCATTTTAATTTTATTTCGTTTTATTTTTGATATTTTGGCCTTAGAGTGATAAACGCGATCAAAACAATCTTTTTGGCTTAATGAAAAACAAGTAAGAAAATTATACTCAGCTGTGACCGAAGATTTTATACCCTCCCCGATTATCCTAAAGAAGACAAGAAAATAAGGACAAGGGGAAATTTCCATACTCTATAATATTGAGTAGGCGTAGCTGATTTTTCTTTATTTAGTTTACAAGTAATGAGGAAAAACATGGAAGGCAAAGGTGTTCTCAGTTTATATTACATTGTAGGTGTGTTCTTTCACCAGTTTTAGACTATGTTCGCATTCTCTTGTAAATTTGAAAGCGATAGCTTCTTTTTTGGGAACGGGAGGATATGTATCACAGTTGGGGGGGGGGGGGGCGGACATGCTTAGGTGACAGTTCCGAATTTAATACTGGCCAAGAACACATGTCTATACTTTAGGGGGTTTTCGAAGTTTGTTTCTGAATTTTGCAAAAAAAATAAAATATTTATACATTATAATATTGGGGAGGCGTGGCTGGTTTTCTTCACTTTCGTACAACTACGTTCAAACTCTTTTATAAGTTTATCTACCGCAGTTTGTGAGGAATGAGCAAACGAAGTTTTTTTGTTTTTGACTTAGAAAGCAAATGTGTTCCCACGTTACTTGGTGCAGCAGGCGTATACTTCGAACATGTTGGCCCGTTTTCAGTACAAATCTACATGCAAGAACTTTTAATGTTCCTGTCAAATTTGAAGCTGACAAATTCATATTTACTGGGCATTACACACATGGACATGCTTAAATCGATTTAGAATTTAATGCTAGTCAAGACTATGCATGTAGTTTGTGGGGTCTCTGAAACTTCTTTCTGGATGTGTCAAACGTTTTGTCAAAACGAACATACCCATCATCTTTCGATGTTCATTAGATTCAGTATAATGTGTTTAAACGGACACTTCCGTGGGCCTCCTTCTCTTAATTTGTAAGTGTAGGAAAGTACATGTCTCAAAATTGCAAACAATAGGTATGACAAATACTTTATGCAAATTTTTACCACGAGCTAAACAATGCTATTGTAGTCTTTAGACAGCGGATTTTGGCTACGGGTGAATGTGCCTGCACTCAACATAGGTTTTATTCAATATAAATAATTTTTATACAATTCTCTCGTACAGATGTGTAACCCAAAGTCAAACACTCTTCAAAGGTTATGTGTAGCTTACTGTATACTGTGTCAATTCGAATTTTTAATGCGACTAAGCAATGTGCGTCTATCTGCTATTGTTATTGAGATTCCAAAATTGAAGTTTAAAGAGAATATTGTGTGCACGTTACATATGGCATATAACGCATCGGTGAACATATATCTGAGCTAAAGCGGCTACAACGATGTCACTACGACATTGTTTGTTTCAAAATTAGCGAAAAAACCGAAGAAATCGTAAAAACCAATAATCCAGGAGGGATATATCGAAAATATACTCTTATTGAGCGTATGACTCTGAGTCCATTTATCATTCTTCGTCCGTCCGTCTATCTATCTGTGCACTGTTTTTTCAAAGCTCACAAGTCCAGAACGTAGCACACAGGGCTTCCACTTCATCAATACATTCTTAGTTGATAATCACAGATTAACTTCTCATATGCGCTTAAGAAACTCGCACAGTAGACGAAAACTGTTAGTTTACGATGAAGAAGACGATCCCTCTTTATATATGCTCACTACAGGAAAAATCGAATTGTATTTAAAAGAATCTAGAGAGATATAGAACTAACAGCTCGTGCAAATACTTTCTACGGTTTTTTTAAAAGGCTATTATAAAGCAAGTCACGATCAACTAATTGGCACGCGTACAACAACAATAAATAAAATACAATTTACAATTAATCAAATTTACAATTGTATGCATTCGTGTGAGATGGTAAGCTTTATAAAACACGCCCTAAAGCGACCATAATCTTCTTTAATTTTGTTTTTTTTTTTCTTTAAATAAAACACTAGCAAGGTGTCTATATTCATTTTTATTTATTAGATTATTGAGTAAACAACGTTTTTCGTTTGCTATAACTCAATTACTCGCTGCACCACTTGCGGTATAGGGTACGTTAAATTTGCGCGGACGAATGTAACACGTAGAAAGGATTAAAATAGACCCATCTCCTATTGTACAGATCGATTCGGAATCATTTTCTAAGGCTGTCTGTCCCTCCACCCGTCTGTCCGTCTGTCCGTTTAGTTTTTGTCTGTGTATATTTGTGTTCAAACTACAGGTTGGAATTTTTGAGATATTTTGGTGAAATTTGATGCACTGACGTGCTTTGACTCACCGCCGAACGCTGTTGAAAATGATTTGGATCGGTCCACTTTTTCGATCATTCTCCATATCTCACTCGTCCTATTTTGAAAATTCGATGTATGAAAACAAATTGCAATTTTGCAAATTGCTCCTCAAAACTTCCTCTGCAATAGTATTTTGACTTTTTAAACTTCGTAAACCCTCTCTTATATAATCGTTTCTACGAAAACTGATACTTTATATAGTGGAAACGTATCATTTTTAATATTTCATGGCGAAAATGATTGCGCAACAACTTTGAGATAGAAATCAACTTTAGCGAATGTGGACCAGGTAGATCTGTTTTTTGAATACTACCGCATACAAAGACTCCTCCAATATGCGGGCTTTGATGAAAAGTATGCCTTTGCGTGAAAATTATGTGCAAATTTTAATCGAAACCAATGAATAAATACAGTTACAGGAGAAGTGATGTAGGGTATCCAATAACCGGCCTTTCCCAACTGTATTGTTCTGACTTATCTCTAAATTCATAATTTTGTCGCACAACACCTCAGCGTGTAATGCTTACCCATTCACTTAATCTTCGTATATTTTTCGCAATCTGTAGTGATATTTATTACTTTACTCCCGATATCATCTTCTTAGTTACAGGTTAGTTCTAAAATATTGTGTATCGCCTGATAATTTCTTTATTTCTATAATTATAAATAAATGAACATTGACTTTTGCAATTAAAAACACGATAGTAGGCCACAACCTACGATTACAGTGGCAGTGCTCGAAAAAGTGGTCCGATTGCAGCCATATTCAATAGCGTTCGTCCTTGAGCCAAAACGCTTTAGAGTACCAGGTTTTATAAAGATATCTGAAAAATTGCAGCCTGCAGATTCAATACAAGAAAACAAGATGGACAGGCGGACAGACAGGCTTAGATCGATCGAATTCGATTAGAAAACGATTCTGAATCGATCAATTATATACGTCCGCATAAATTTAATATACCCACAATTGGTGTAGGGCATAAAAAACGCTTACAAAGAGCGATTTTGACTCGAATTTGACATTGAAAGGGAATACACTACAACATGTCAACAGATAATATATATTGCTTCTTCTATGCGATAAGACTTAACCGCACATTTTAAAGCCCATCCCAAAAACGTTAGGAACGCTGAACTGTGTGCTGCTTTGCTCCTTACATCTATCTATATATGGACTTATGAAATGAAAGAAAACAAGAAATTGTTTCATGCATAGCCACGAACGATGGTTTGTTCGTTTGACGCGGAATTCGTAGACTATCAGAAGAATGGAAAAATGTAATTGCAATGGGAACATATATGCACGTGGCATATGCCATTAGGATTGTGGTCTTACCTTATGATGTGATAAAACCGTAAACTTTTATGATCACATCACCATAAAGTCAGAGACGCGGCTTAATCCGCTAAATTATTACTAATGGGGTCGTGTTAAGCAGAAGACCAATAAATACATCCGCCACATGTAATTTCAGCGCTGGAAGATGCCGTAATCTACACACCGACGAACATAATGTGACTCCTTCTTATTGGCGCTAAAAGGAGTGTTATTAAATAAATTGGTTCTCCGGAGCAATACAGAGAGTTACAATAAAACTCTCAAAAAATTTTTATGATTGCCGCGTGACGCCTTTGCAACGTTCCTCCTACTTATACGTCAGCAATCTCAAAATTCTTTTCGCCATTATGAGCTTTTGGAAGCATTTTAAATTTTATAGTTCACAGTTTGAAATTCTCTGAAGCGTTAATTTTGTCCGCCTACCATCTCTATGATAATGAAGAGCTCAATCAATATTCATTATTATACATGGCTGAGCGCTCAATAATGTTATATTAACTTTCAATTAATTATTATTGTCAGATAGATGGCTGACTTGATTGACTGCATACAGACAATTGAAAGGCGGATAGTCTTTAAAGGGCTTATTTTCATTTTTTACGCTGCTCTAACTATGATCGACAGAACTATGAATGGCAGAGACACCGTTACTTTAATTTTATAATTTCAATTGGAATGGAGAAATGGAGAAACTGTCATCTATCGCAATCCGAGCAAATCAAGCAATTCAAGAGAAGACATTGTTGTTATCAAAATTCAATTAAATTTTATTTTATTTTCGAATTTTTAAGGCTTTAAAAATTTCGATTTTGCTTTTTTGCAAAATTTTTGTTTGACTTATCTTATTATGGTGGATCACATTTTGGGCATAGATTGGGGTGCCTATAAAAATCTTCGGATTACCGATATACATGAGAAAATGCGACCCCAAGTCAGATCGTATATGATGGAGGGATGTCGAAATCATAGACTGTTTGAATTGTTAAAAGTCGGTGAAGATCCGGGCGTTGAAGAGGATATGCTTCGTATTATTAATCACATTTTGGAAAATGATTGCAGCATTATGGTTACGGATGATCAAAATGCGATAAGAGCCGTCGCTTTAGTCAAATGTATGACGGCGGAGGCTCGATCATGGACCGCGCTTCGTTTAATTGTGAGAAGCACGTACGTGAGTGATTTCTTAGAATTGCTTAACACTACGTTACAAAGTGGAATTAATCTCCATCCAGATGATAGCAATAAAGATAGTTTACATTTTTTCTCCTATCGTGTCGATGAAAATTTATTGCCCGATAAATGCTTTATGAGGCGCTTTCACAATGCCATTTGCGAGGTGGCAAGACACATGAAAATGCCGCGCATAACTTATGTGGCTTTGCTTCAAGCCGACCGCGATTTTGTGACCGAAAATGATTTTATTCAAATTGTAACTACAATCTATTCAATGTTTATGTTGCGCAATCGTCGACCCTTCGATAGAATGCGTGACACTAACGAAATGTTCGCCGCCCTTTACATCAAGGATGTGCCACCGTTAATACATTTCGACAGCTTTCAAGTGCGTCATCCTCATTTGGCTACGAAAGAGGCCCCAAAGAAAAAAATTGCCGAGAAAATGCAATCAATACAAAAACCGGGACCATCGGAAGCAGATGAAGATAAAAATTAAAATTGAAATGATTAGAAGATTATTTTGTGCAAAAATCGATCAGTTTTCCTTTCCTTATTTGGGAAAAGTTTCAAAAATATAATCGACTAATAGCTAACTGGGTTTTACTTACTTATATTATTTATCAAAGTCTAAATATCATTAAGATTTGTATGTGATGACGAGGCCGTCAACATAAGTAAGGTCAAGCACAACAGGTCCAAATATATATATATATATATATATATATATATATATGTATCTATATATCTATGTGTCTATGTATAAAAAAAAAAGAAGAACAACGCGGCCGACCAATCAACTCCGCGCGAGTCTACGGCGCATAGTAAAAGTTTTAAACAAAAAAGTCTGTTTGCAATTTATTAAACTGGTTTCATTGTAGCTTTAACTTCTTTTAAATGCTTTATTTTATTATAAAATTTTCATAACCGTGCAGTTCGTGTATGTGTCGTTAACGTGTTGTTAATTGTTATTCGGAATTATGAAATTTATATATTTAATGTCTTTTTCTTTTCTTTTCTTTTCGTTTCTTTTCGTTTCTTTTCGTTTCTTTTCTTTTCTCTTGTCTTCGTCTTCCCCAATTCCTTTTTTCATTCGCTTCATATAGCCCCTTCGCAAAGAACTAATTACTTTCAAGTGGCTTAACTCGTAGAAAGCGTCCTTTTTACTGTCAATTGTAAGTTAAGTTAATTGCTATGAAGTAATCGTTGCTTTCTCTACTTTCCTGCTCTAAAGGAAGTAATTGAAATTAAGTCAAGTCAATGACTTTAAATATTTATTTAGTTTCTTTTCTTTTTTTTTTTACATAACTTTCCTATAATATTTCATAACTGCAAAAATCAATTTATGAATTACAATAAAAAGGAAAAAAAAAAAAAAAAAAACAAAAACAAAAAGAAAATAATATATAGTTTAATCAATTTTTTGTTTTCTTTTATTCGTTCGCTTTATTGAGGTATACTAGTAATGCGCATATCTTTTGAAATTCCAGTAAAATCTCTATGCACTACTCACCTGTCAGTCGGTCTTTGCCGTAAGACTATCACTTTTGATGATATGATGCTGTTGATGCTGCTGTTGTGATGCTGCTACCACATAAAACAAGTTATCTGATAAAATTAAAAAAAATAAATAAAAATAAAAATAAAAAAAAAAAAGTTAAAAAAAAATGCAAACAAACAGAATTAAAAGTTTACGGTAAACCATACGTCAACAATCTAGTTTGTTGCAACAACGCGTAATACGCCGATTTCCTTAAAAGTTGATTGAATTCCCGTATTTATTCGCATAGTATGTATGTATGTATGTATGTATGTGTGTGCGTATGTATGCTTATGACAGGCGGGAAACAGTAAAAATGCATGGATAAGACAAGCACACACACACACACACACACACACATACACATACACACACGCACACTCAGTAAGAGTAAAAGAATTCATCTAACATCCATTTAGAAAGATTCAGTTAATTAACATAACAAACGTAACGAACGCAACAAATAATTGTTTGTTAAGTGCGATAACGAAAAATAATTAAGCGATCTAGTTGTGTTAAGTTGCTGCGTTGGCCAATGTTGCAATTGTTATTGTTATTGTTGTTGTTGTTTTTGTCGCGTTGACCGTTTTTTGCTATGTTTTTTACTATTTTTTTTTTTTTTTTTCAATGGTGAATGTTTCGGAGTTTATTGCGTATCATATCGGTTGAAAATAGGTCGATTGGGGGTTTTGTCTCTTTGGTCAGCGTTTGCTTTTCTTTATTTAAAATTGATTTCTTTTTTTGGTTTTTTTTTTTGTTTTTTTTTTTGTTTTTGTGAACTCTCTCAATTGGTTTTAATTACTACTGGTTGACGGTTGTGGTCATTTTTTTTTTTTTTTTTCTTAGTTAAGTGCGACATGATTCATTAAACATGAATTTGGTTATATTTTTGATTATCATTTATATTTGTATTATATTACAAAACTTTGTTTCTGTTACTTTCACCTGAGACCACATGAACACGGAAAACAGTTTAACTTGAAGTATGCGAATATTTAATTAATAAAATTACTTTTACTCCAATTTTTGCTTTTATTTATTAAACTGCGCTAAATTTAATACATATATATATATATATAGTTTTTTTTATTTCGTTTTATTTTACCATAATAAACTTTTCAGGTGACACGACCGATTTTCGCCTAACTTAACACGTCGACGTATAGCACTTAACTTAGTTAAGTTAACTGCCTTAACTGTTGGAACAATTTTTGTTCAATCGATGTAAGAGAAAAAATATGCTGGCAGGGAAAAATGGGAAGCGAGTAAGAGAAAGAAAGAGAGAAGAAGAAATTAAATCGCTCGTATAGAGCGTAAAAAGAAAAATTAATTAATTTTCCAATCAGTGACAGAATTTGAAAATTTGAAAAATTATTCTGAAACTTTAAATTTAATTTTTAAATTAAATGCTATTAAATCAATTACTATTTGTAAGCTTTATCTTTATATATAAAACCGGGTTGAATTTTATTTCAATGCTCTTATATGACATTTGTTTGCTTTTTATTTTATATAATAACTAAATCAGTTAAATCAGATCAGTGAAAACTTTATGATATTGTTTTCGCAAAAATCAAACAATAGAGATTGGAATCAATCATTCGCTTAGGATCGAGCAACTCACGATACATCATTCCTTTCCAATTCCAACAAGCATTAAGCATCAGCTATATGTGAAGTCAAAGCAAGCTTCAGCAGTATTTGTGCAGCTTTGTCCATTTGAGACTACCAATTTTTTTTTGACCAACTTTTGTCATATATTACGCGCTTCGTCGCTTTCATCGCTCATTATTTCTGTCTCTTCAACGATGACGCAATTTCATTTCATTTCAGCAGCAATTCGCCAACGGAAATTGAGTCGGTTCAAATTGTTACTCTCTTAGCTCTGTCAATACCTAAATATCGAATTTTTTGTCTACCTAATCTTATTTTTCGAGAACTTTGAAGGGGTTTAGCAGAGTCGCGGTACGTCTTTAATGTCGAAATGAATAAACCGTTTGCATGCAAACACAGCGATTTATTTCGCAAGCCTACGAAGAACTCTCCCTTTGCTCCATATCACACTATAAAGTGTTGCAAATTTTTTTCGAATTTTGACTCATTTTCAAAATCCAGTTAATCCAAGTTCTTTCTTTTTTTTCCTGTTTTAATCTGCGACCTATGGCTCGATAATGACTTCAGATCTACATATATAAAATAACTTTTTCCTTTAACAAGTAAGTATTCAAAACAGTACATAAAATATGGGCCAAAGCCATTAATATAACAATGAAAAACAAACTTCGACGATAAGGTCCACCATAAATGAATACATGAGATTGTTGATACACAATAAATGCGGGGAGTATACGAGTCCCCTTGTATTAGTCGAGTTTGTTAATAATTTATATAACTCAGGCGATTATTTGCAATCCAATATAATCGCGAATATTTATATCCACACAAAGTGATTGTGATGAGAGAATATAGGGAGAGGTTGACCGGGTGAGCGTTGTAAGCTAAAAAATCATTTCAAACAGAAATAAGCGGGACAAAGCAAGCTTCGGCGAGATTGTAAGTTAAAATAAAAGAAAAAAAAAAAAAAAAGAAGCAATTGTCAGAAAAGTTATTATAGAGAAGACATTGAGATGATGGAGTTTATAGCGCTGTCACAAACAAGCAAACTCAAGTCGAAAGTTATTAAAGGTAGACAAGGTTTCTTTTATTACATTTTTAATCGTTTGACTTTACGTTTACGGCATTACGGCATTACGGCACTATTTATTTACATTTTTATTGACTTTGGTTATGTAAGTATTTCGGCAATAGTCCATCAAACCAATTCAAAATTTTCAGAGAGATCTGCAGAATTAAAACTGTTCATCTCCTCGTCTCCGTCCTTAAGAGAACTAATAAAAAAAAAAAAGAAGCTTAATCTTTTCTTTAACACTGACGTTGAACGTGCGACGTTGTATAATGTTGCAAACATTTCTCAACACCTTACGTTTACATGCCTCTAAGAAGAGAGTTGAGGGTACGTCTCTTTTACAGCTATTGCTCTTAAGCGTGAAACTTATCTCAATCATAATCAAATAAACGGTAATATAAACGGAATCTGGTAAATTGGTCACTGCATCGTTTGCCGTTTGTCTTCTAATTTATAATGTGCTTATCTGCTGCTGCTCTCGCATAAAAACCTCATCTTCGACGGTTTACTAAATTTTCCAGTTTATGTAAATGTACTCATATGTACATTTTCTAAATTATTTATATAAATAATATAATTTTTTGTTTGTTACGGCTTTACACTAATTCATTGCGTAACATTCGTCAAAAGACCAAATAACAAACAATTCATTGTCGGAAACTATTTCGAAAGCATTCAAAGCGTTCGTTTAGATCACGACATAACAAGAAAACGCACCAAATATGATGTTGCAAAGCTAACAGTGGAAAAAAAAAGGCGTTTTTCTTACTAAAGCATAACAAGTAGTGGAGAAAATAAAATCGCGCATCCAGTAAAAGGATGAACGATTATAAACAAAATAACCTTTAGAGTTTTCCTTATGACGTAAGATTCAAAAAAATGTTTCTTTCTCATGATTTGAAGCGTGCGTGAAGCGTCTTAAAGAAAGGGAGAATATGAACTTTATATATGTGATTGCTGATTAGAAGCGATTAACTAATTCATTGTTTTGTGAATTACAGAAACAAGTGTCCATATGGTGAGCTAGGGCTGAGAATTATTTCATTTATTCTTAAAATGAAACGATCGCGAGCCAGTAGAGTAAATTAGAAGAATTTTTTCACGCAAAATTCATAAACAAAAAAAAATTGTCGTCTGTCACGTGTCTAATGTGCTGCGGAAACTTTAAACGAATTGAATCGAAGTTCTTTGGGAAAAGTTATTGAAAAAGAAGCAGCGCATCGACTCAACGGAGAAAAGAGATCATTCATTGCGTTGCTTATTTTTCTCTTTCTCTGGTGAGAAAGCATTGGGTGGTTTAGCATCTAATGTACTGAGGCGAGTAATCCTCGTTTTACACGCTATCCATTCTACATGCTTTTATTCTTATACGGCTGTCCATGTGAACATTTTTCATTTTATTGATTTAGTACGTAGAAAAGGGCTTAACGAAAAGCAATGTAAAAATTATTGAGCTTTCGTATTTAATAGAATTTTTAAGCGCGGAACTAAAATCCCGCCGAAAGCTGTGTGCACTTCAAAGACCTATTTAACACTTAGGTAAGAACATTATGTAAAAGTTTCACACAATTTGTTTATCATCTTAAACGATAGTTTAAAAATTCGAACATGATATCCAAAGCGTTTTACGGCGGGTCAGGAAATCAATGTTTTGAGTGAACGACATACATATCTCGTCTTGGCAGTATTCCTAGTGCATACAATTCGCAATTGATTGCCTGCAAAAAAAAAATATATATATATATATAGATAAAATCGACGCAATTATTTCAAGAAATCCTATGCACTTAACTAGATATTAAAGTTGTTTCAAGAATTCTCTTTATTTTCAGTTCTCTTTTAAGAAAATCTAGATAGGAAGTTGCGAACTGTAGCAATCCGTCTAAGGCGGTCCAATAGACGAACCTCTTTTTTTCCTTATTTGCTTCTGCGATAGCTGCTTTCGTACTCATGGGATAGCTTCAAGGCACTCTTTAAAGCAGAGGTGAGTGTTGACAAACTCCTCCTAAGAAGCACTTCATTACTAGTGTCATTCCTGGTACACAAAATACTATCTTCCAATTAACGTATTAATAACTGCTTCAAATTGCTTATGTATATGAAATTAGGCTATGGTATGGTACAGTGTGTTTTTGAACTTCAAACTTCAGACAATATCAGAATGTGTCGCTTTTGTGTCCATTTAATTACACATGCAAATATTTCTATGCTTCGCTCATCACTTATATGCTTAGCACATCAAAAGTTAATAAATAACGAGCTTCAACGTAAAACAGAAAATGGATGTTAACAAATTGATAGCAGCAAAGAGAAATTATCCCTTGGCTGGCGGCAAATTTCCATATTTATGACATCTTGGCATTTAGTGTAACATGTTTCGCTCCCTGAAAAACAGAAAAAAATATGCCAAGAGGAAATTGCTTCACTTCTTATATACTTTTTGTTTTTGTCGGAAGTTAATGTCGCTCGGGTGAAATAAGAAAATTTTCTCTTCTCAACATATTAAACATACACAAATGTTAAAATTTATTTAAATACAAACGTTCTTCTTTGCTATCGTAAACAAGTTGAAGAGCTTTACTTCTTTTCTTAATTATCATCAAAATGTGCAAAAATTTTTTAATAATCATTTCTATAAATATAAAAGTATAGATAAGATTTTAAAATTTATTTTTTGGTCGTAAGTATAATTTATTATATTACATAATATACATTATTTTCAAATTTATTTAGCAATTAGTTACTTGATACATATGAAAAATGTTTTCATTTCGCTATTTTCATAAATACATAAAAAAATAATAAAAAAAAAAATTGTATAAACCATATAAATCATTAGTAAAATATTAAACAAAATTATTAAAACTTTTATTTTATTTCATTATTTTCTTTTCTAGCTTTGCAATTTTCTGAAGCTGCTTTTCTTCTATCCTTCTTTATAGTGTTTTCAAAATATGAAAAGAAAACTAGTATTTGAAATATCACATATGCCTCCTATAACAAATTGGAGAAAGGAAACATACCTTCCTTCTTAGTGCTTATTGTAAATACCGAAATAAGTCTATACTTTTAGCACTAAAATTAATTAATTAATTGCATTGAGCAAAACTATTCATCTTATATCTTATAGTATATAAGATAACACGCGTAACGATAACACGAAAGGAAAGTTTTCTCTTATTAGATAATAAATGCTGTCTTAAAAGCGGAGGAGAAACGTTCAGAAATGCTTTTTGAACTTATAATTGAACATATAAATTAACTGAAGCATATAATAAATCTTATTGCTTTACATTTATATATTTTGAACTCTTCATTTTTTTAATACGGGTATATTCAACGAATGGATGGAGCGGTATGTGTCTATTTACCATATTATCGTTCATAGAAGGACTTAAACATTTTATTTAGCTTAATAGTGCATGAAATGCGTTGAAATAGGTCGCTTTAAATATCATTGATTAAATGACCTTCAACCACCGAAGAATGGTGGTAGCGCCTTCTCTGAGAAAAGTCCTCATTATCCTCATTTAATTGTGTGGGTGATAGATCAACACCAGGGCATGATGGTGTCACCACTATTTGTTCATATTCGTGCATACGTTTACTAGAAGCGTACAAACAAACGGTCTCATGAGAGAGAATTTCATTTCAATTTTATTGAACTCACCCAAAGCAACGGAATATGACACTTTTTAACCAGCCGAAAAAGTTGAACTCGGCCGTAACACCTGGTTTAACAGCTGGATTGGCAGTTCCTACATAAAACCAAATGATAAAGACCACCAAAAAACATGTTAAAGCATAGTACCAATTAACCATTAACATGACCAATATTTTGGTAAATGCCTTAAAGAAGAATCATTCGTTCATTATAAGCGCGCATTTATGTTAACATTTTTCTACTTACTCCCAATAAAGAAGCCCATCGATTGCAGTAACCCGAATACCAATTTTTCGTTTTCTGGTGTATAGGCGCCCGAATCGGGGCAATAGGCTCTTCATCTTGTGTCGCAACCACGTCTAAAACACCTCCTGCATAATTGTGGTTTACAGTTTCATTTATAATATTTCTGGTTTCAATTTCAGGGTTGGCTACCAGTTCGCCATTGGCGGCAGTCGCAGAAGCGAAGTGATTATCACTTATCGTAGAAGGCATATGTTGAGGTGAGTTTTGCGGGGTTTGCAAATTTTTGTGACGCACTCTATCGGGAAATAGCAAATCTAAATCGCTACCTTCAGGCATGGCTCCATATCGCCGGCTCTCGTACGATGGTGATGAAGCTTGTATACGAAAACGTTCTTCTCTTTGTTCTTGTATATCAAAAGTTTGTGCCAAAGCGAAATACGAATAATCTATGCAGGCATACGTTAATAAAAACGGCATGGTGACGATGGGTGCCAGAAAATTAATATCGCCTACAATGATAAAGGTTACTGTTACCAGAGCCACTACAGCCATTGAATAAAGGGGCACTTTATTGGGGCCTCTCTGCAAGCATATTATTTTTTTTCAAACTCTTTTCTTCCGGATTTACTTGTTCATAAACTTACTCCTTTCCCCAATATGTCAATGCCAGGTATAACGCTTTCTTTAGCTATACTTTGCAGAACACGAGGCGTCCCATACATAGCTCCTAAACATGAAGACATGCTGGACACATAAATCCCAGCCATGAGGAGAAAATGAAGAGCTGATACTTTAACTGAAATCATGAAATCGTTCAATAGTGTAGTTCTTTGACAAGTCGAACCCAGAAATAGGATGAAAACTAAGTAAAGAAAAGTGCTGCGAAAACACAATTGGTTAATTAATGCTCTTAGTCGTTGGCGTCAATATATCTTACGAGGTACCGAAAGCGGCCAAGGTGCCGTTAGGTATGTCAGTCGATGGCGCACGCAAATCACCGCTCATATTAATTCCCGAAAGCACACCAGTGACAGTGGGAAAGAAAACGCCAAAAACACGAAACCAAGAATAACCATTCTCATATTTTGGCCAAAGGTTCTCTAGGAAATTATTACTAACCCAACCGTCGAAACCGTTTTCTATAAAAATGAGAACTCTTTAAAAGCCATTGCCTTATGGATCATTTACAAAATACTCACTTGAATCTTCTCCAATAAAACTGCCAACCATAAAGTCCAAAGCCGAGAAAAGCAATATCATTAACAATATAAACTGCAATTTAATTACCCATTTCACCCCAGCTACATTTATGCATCCCAACAATAAAACAGCAGCAGTCGCGAAGCCTCGCACAGCCCATTTATTGTCTTCCAATCCAACAAACCCCGCCATCGATTCACCGAAACCCATTACGTTTAAGGCGCACCCTACAGCTTGTCCAAAACAATACAATAAACCCAACGAGCCACCAAACCTGGAACCTAAGGTATGTGCTATCAAAAAATAAACGCCACCGCTTTCGACTCTACATCTTTCGCAGATTCCCACGGCGGAGAGAACCGAAACTAAAGCAATTACAACCGTACAAAATATGATAAGCACAGCATTTAAAATGCCAGCCTGTGCTACTATCCAACCGGAACGCAGAAACACAATAACGCCGAACACGTTGATTAGACACGACGTAAACACACCATCCCAAGTACCAAACAATACGGGCTGAGATATAAAGAAATTAGAACGCCACCATGGTTTCTCGCCTTGTTCCTGAGCGAAAATCTCATTTGCTCCAGAAGCTTGGTGACCACCAGAAGCATACGTATACTCACTTCCTAAGTCAATAAAGCCACCGCAATTGCCACGTTGACGAAAATTGGCTACTATCACTTCACCATCCTCCTCTGAACCTAATCCGAAACGATTCCAATTCACTTGTTGACTTCGACGGCCGTCATTTCCCCCATCAACAAAACCGTTAGTCCTCTGATTGTCCATCATGGACAATGTGTTTGCTTCCAATTAGGCGAATTACTTTTCTCTAATAACTTTTAATGTGTCCTTTTCTTATTTTGATTTTCAATTTGTGGTCCACTGGCTTTAAGTCACTTGACTAGTAATCAGAATTCTTCAACAATTTTACGACTTGCTTCAATTTTCTGAATTCTCTAAAGCTCATCTACGCATGCAGAAACTTAGTTTTTAAAACACTCCAAAACGCTAACTATTTCTTTAGCATCTGTTTATCGTCTGGCTTTGTTATGTTTTTCCATTTCTACTTTAATTTTTCTAATTGTTTAACAAACGGAGGAACAATTCTTACTTAAAAATTGTAAAAACAAAAACGAATTCACACATAAAACATGCTTCAGATAAACAAGATATCATCAATAAGTGAATTATTATGACGTTATTTTTGAGTGCGAAATGATAACAACAGAGATTGAAACGAAATGAATTAGCACAGGGTTGCAATGTAAGGGACGATCGAAGTAAAATATGTTATATTTAGAACTCTTGTAGTCGCGGGAAATAAATAAAACTAAAAAGTCATAGCTTGGATCAAATTTCATTAAATTTGTATTAATAGCATACGTTTTAGCGGTAACAAGAAATTACGAATTAAAAAAAGATTGTCAGAGCCGTTCAAAGTTGATTGACACGCAAGCAATCAGCAAACCGCCGTCCGAGTTTGCAAGTAACTTAAATTTGTCGTTATAGGCCTTCCACTTTTCTGTAATTAATTTAAAAAAAATATTTACTCGCTATTAATAAGAAATTTGCATAACGTGGCAAATTAAGTAAAAGATTTTCAAATAAAATTAAATTTATTTCGTTTTCGATTATGTTTACAGCAATAAAAGCATAATAAAAGGGCTGCACATAAATAATATTTTAAAAAAGTTCCCTTTGTGTTTTTATTTTCTTTTTTTTTATGACATATAAGATCATATTCAACGATGGCCTCAATTCTGTTCCGCGAGGACATCTAGTTAAAGCCATTTTCTTTTCCTTCATTTTTATGTTAAGCATGTTAATGAGTATGTGTGAATAGGAGCACGAGCAGGTCATTGCGTCTTCTACGTTTAATTAGTTTAAATAGTTTTACAGTTATATGTTTGTATAGTTCGTTGCTCAAGCTTTTTTCGTTTTTAATAATTTTTATAGTTTAAAGGATATTTTCACGTACTGAACCAATTCGTTTAGAACCATCGAACCAATAATCATTTTCTCACAATTAACTTGAAATATAAGTATGCCACCGCTTTGCTGTTGCGACCAGTTGCAAGTTATTAACAATAGACTTTTCGAGGACATAGTTTGACCTGCAAAGAACAACTGCTGCTGATGGTCAGTTATTTCATGCCCTATAAGAGCCACGTTAATACATTCAAATATCTTTTGCTTCAAACTTGACACATCAAAGACATTTTCGTTTACTAATAATTTGATCTGATGTTCATTCATTCCTCTCAATTTTGTACGCTCTTCTTTAAACATTGTTTCCGATATTTGTACTGATCGTACAAGTTCACCTATAACAGGTTTAAAAACGATGCGTTTTGCCTCTAAGCTGCTGCAAATTTCGAAAACTAAGGCATGAGTAGAGTCATTGAAATCCACGCCTAATATACCTATTGCACACTGACCCGGCACTAATGTATTAATGGGAGCAAATTCTTGCATATGCATGCCACGTGGTAGAGTCTTTTGGTCCATTTGTATATTGGTAATCTCCTCTACGCCTTGGTTGGAAAACTGCAACTCAATGGACACCATGGATGAAGAATACAGATGTGGCGAACGCGTATAGCGATAGTTTATTTGTAGACCATGAGCACTGAGTTTATTTAAAAGTTCCTTGTAATTATACGAGATGTAGGAAGGGCCCACCAGATCCACATGGCTCTCTGCAGAATGCGGCATGAGACCAATCGTTTGCACTGGACCGATCGGTGTAAAGAAACCCCCTAAAGAAGGCGTCATTACCGGTCCGATAGGCGGTATATCGCTCAAATCCAATAGCAAATCCAAATTCCTTCCTTCGTGTTTATTCATTAATAGTTTGCCTTTTTCTACTTTACTGCTACTAACTCGCTTACGAATTGATTCGATTTCAAGCTTTGAATTCGTATCAGAAGCCGCTTCGGCGTCTTTACTTTCATCGGTCGCTTCAGACGAAGATGTCGTCGAGGAGTTATACGATGAAGATTCACTATCTGATGTACCGGACTCTTCATTTCTATCTGAAGCATTATTCGCTATTATTATAATATTATTTTTGACGACTTTGGTCGCTTTATTATTATTGTTTAAGGTATTGGCTTGAATTTTATCATTTGTAAAAGTCTTGTTAACTTCTCTACCTTCTACATCAGATTCTGAAGAGCTTTCTTCACTGATACTCGAACCATGGCTTGAGGAACTGCTTGCTTTTGAACTAGAATAATCGGATGATTTTTCTTCAGAGTCCGACATAAAAAGATTATTATCCGCTTGTTTTGAAGATTTATTTAACGGTTTGTCATGTTTTCGTGCAGCGTCATGTTTTTGATTGCTTACTGAGTGGTTTACTGCCTTTGTCTCCTGCATAAACCCTTCTACATTACGAACGGAAGAATCTGATTGCTCAGATGGGAAATCAGGCAAGTCGGTGTAACCGGCACAACGCATGTTCAAATAATGAGAAAGTGAGCCTAGCTGATAATGATTGCGCGTAAAATACTTGCTCTCCAATGTGGGAGCTGGTTTGGTAGATAAAAATATCTTTCTAGCTGAATCGGACAGCACAGGGCTTTTACTATTGGCCGGGAATATAAATTGTTTTAGAAATCTCGCGCGATCACGTATATCGTAGTTAACATCGTAACGCGCCAAAGTAAAAACGTATTGGCATAGCAAAGACGTCTGCTGAGGATTTTTAAGGTATAATTTTACTGCTAAATTTAAAACTTGTAATTTAACAGGGTCTTCCTCATCCACAAAAGTTTTAGCCATTTTCCTCAGGACATCTGGGGCGATTTTAGGCACTTTGTCATTATACTCGCCGATGAGCCATGTAATGGAAGCTCTCGCTGCAGGAACTTTTATGAAGTCCAGCAGCTTTGCCATTTGCGAAATAATTTCATAGTGTTGAGCTGCCTTCGTTTGTAGTAGTTTCTTGATAACTACCACACTTTCAGCAACCACGTGCTCATCACGATTGGATAGCAAATGAACAAGACCATTTAGGCATGTTTCTGTTACCTCCTTTATAGAAGCAGCACATCTTCCAATGGCTTGGATAGTAGCTGCGACAAACGAACGATCACTACTGGAAATGTACGTCTGAAACTCACGTAAAATTAATGAAATGCTTGAAGCAGATGCTAAATTTGCAAGAATTTCCAATTTCAATAGCTTTATATGGGTTGGATCACTTGTGCGCACAAAGAACGATTTAATGTGGGGTTCAAAGATTGCTTTCCGTTTTGTAGACATTGACGCGATGCAGGTTAGCACTACACTTTGTACTTCTTTGTGCGATCTGAGTAAACGTATCAGGGCCTTTACTATGATTTGCACTTCTTGACGTGGCGCCACATGATGATATAGCTGTGCAACTGCCATTACAACAGATGCATTTCGTGATTGCAATAAGGGTTTAGCCTGCCTAAGCAATAGCCGATGGTCTAAATCGACATGGTAGCTAGCTGTTGAATTAAACGGCTTCCCTTTCGAGCTATCAGTTTTATTTGCTTGTTTTTTGTTGATTTCTCCTTCGGTTATGTTTGACTCGCACTCTGAATCGTCGTCGTCATAGAATTTCTTGATAGTATTTTCATTTTGTGCACTTTCCTCGTCGGAGAGATCATCACGGTTAGGATCAATAAATTGGGTGCGGGCATAACGAGTTAACATATTGATTATTATAACTTGGCCCCACTCATCTACGTCGACCAACAGACTACAGAGTTTTCGATAGTTTTTATGTATCAAATCTACACGCTCAGGACATACTTCTTCAAAAGCCATAACCGCAGAGCCAACAACTAAAGTGGTACGATCTGATAGGAGTTTTTCAATAACAGTAACTAATTCATCCTTTTGCTCGCAATCTAAAGAATATAGTTTGGGTATAGCATGAGCTGCAGTCTTTCGCACGTAAGGGCTCATATCGGAGGCTGAGTCCCTAATGGCTAACATTACAATAGGTACTATCATATTGACGCGTATTGAAGACAGCACTCGCAAGGCTGAAGCTCTTATCAGTTGATTAGGATCTTTTAGAGCTCGTTGAAATGTCGAAATAGAAAGCAAAGCCAAATCTTGTTGCTCTTCAGCATAGCGTACCAAATATACGTAAACCAACTTTTTCACTTCAATATTTTTTGAAACGACGTTCTTCACAACTGCGGGAAACAAATCACTAGCGTCGCGACCTCGTGCTATCATACCGATAATACGTTTCATGGCCTCCAGTTTTAAGCCATCTTTGTTGCTATCAAGCATTTGCTTCAAATCGTCATGTTTACGTCCTTCGAATTTAAAAATCGCGCCACTTGCAGGATCCGTCCCATATTCGACGTCTAAACCCATTTGGGGGCGTTCACCATAGGCTGAAAATGCATTCGATTGTTGCATGATTGCTGCCGTTGTACTGTTATTAAGATTGCCCGCTAAGCCAACAGGAGAGCCAGAGGACAACATACGCGTAAATTGCTGAAGCTTGAATATAAAATTGCACAAATGAACACACCCGCACACTCCAAATAAATGCCTCGTACTGTTTATTGCTGTCTAAATGAGAGCCAAGAATATAATTCACGTCATCGCTTTGTGATTAACGGAAGAACGAATCAAATAATTATTAAAACTTACTTTTTCTTGTAGGAAAAACTTGTTTTCTGCTAATTGCAAATTTTTATTTTGCAATATTTCTTTTCCACTATTAAATGAAAAGCTAGATGACGTATTTATTAGTACTGCTAGAATTCGTGAATGCTTAAGTAGGGCACGGAATATAACAAACAGGAGGACGAAAGGTTATAAAAACGTATTTGCGTGAAGTTTGGCAACTCTATGATTAAATTAAAATACATTAAAATACAGAAACAGAAAGCATTGATGATGATATTAGACCAGCTGTTCTGTATTTTACAACAGTTGATTTTCACTTGTGCTCTGTTGGGCTTATTTTCGATTCTTGTGGTAATTGAATTAGTTATATTTAATTTAGACGTTTGAAGGATAAAATAGTGTTTTTGTTTGCTGTTATCCATAATGAGTTTCCCATTGACGAATCCAAATAAAGATTCGAATAGAGCGGCCTGTAAAAAGTGTGGATATGCCGGTCATTTGACTTATCAGTGTCGGAACTTTTTAAAGGTACGTTTGCTCGAAAGAGATATTTAGATCGATCCCATAAATCTTTTTGCTATGGCAGGTCGATCCCGACAAAGAGATTTTATTAGACGTTGAAAGCACAAGTTCTGATTCGGAACTTGATTGTATGACCCCACTTACTGACCTTCGTATGAAAGAAATAAAGGAAAAGGAGGCTGAACTTTCGCAGAAGCAACAAAAGAAAAAGATAAAAACTCAGAAAACGAAAAGAAAGAGATCCAAACATAAGAAAACCAAAAAGAAGCACAGCAAAAAGAAAAATAAGAAACATAAAAAAACTATTAGTGAAAATAGCACCACATCTGACTCCTCCATTTCTAGTTCTTCGTCAACCTTAACTACGTCTTCCTCAAGCGAAGCTAGTACCGAATCCGATTCTAGCGACAACGAAGAGTCTTCCACGAGCATATCTGATGCACAAGGTCATAAAATGAAACGAAAGGGGAAATATAAACGAAAAGCAGATGACGCACAAATCAGGCGTAAGAAACTTAAAGTGAAACGTAAGCGTTACAGGGCTACCAATACCACGAGCGATTCGGAAGATGAATCCAGCTCGGATTGATTAAGAAAACGAAAGAATTTATAGAGACAAATTACATTAGCATTAGGATTCCTAAACTGCCACGATAAGTTGTACTCATCTTTCTGTTTTCATTAATTTGATAGATTTTTAGTATAGTTTCATAAAATATGTAGAATTATAACCTTTGTGGTCCAACATTTGCACACAAAAAAAAAAAAAAAAAAAAAAAAAAAAAAAAAAAAAAA